CCTTTCAAATAAATAAGTGAATAAATAAAGCCAATTTCCTTCTTTAAAAAATGTTTTCAATGTGCGTTTTTAATAATCCATCAGTTCAGGAGCAGATAACCTATCGAGGGAATCAGTTATTGGTACTGAAGCTGGCTTCATCCATCCCCTCTCTTGCACAAACTGATTTATGGAAACCACTGAGTCCACAGAAGATTAAGGGATGGCATGCTGGAAACTTCTTTGGCACAGCAGTTTAAAAATAGGGTACACTGGGGGCTGGCACCTGCAGTACTGGCATCCCAAATAGGTGCCCGTTCCAGTCCTGGCTGTTCCACTTCCAATCCAGCTCTCTGCTATGGCCTGGGAAAGCAGTGGAAGATGGCCCAAGTCCTTGGGCCCCTGCACCCACGTGGGAGACCTGGAAGAAGCCTCCGGCTCCTGACTGGATCAGCACAGCTCCAGCTGTTGCGGCCATCTGAGGAGTAAACCAGCAGAAGGAAGGCACCTCTCTCTCTCCCCCTCCCTCCCCCTCCCCTCACCCTCTTCCTCTCCCTCCTTCTCTCTCTGTGCCTCTGCCTATCTGTAGCTCTGCCTTTCAAATAAATAAATAAATAAACCTTAAAAAAAGTCTCTCTCTTTTAAAAATATAAGACCTCCTCATGCTTTCATGCACGTTTTTTGTCACGTTTGTTTCCGGGCCTTTTTAAACAAATATATTTTTTTCTTCTCCTTGAAAGGCAGAAAGAGAGAGAAATTCATCTTCCATCTGCTGGTTCACTCCCCCACATGCCTGCAACAGTCAGGGCCAAAGCCAGGAGCCGGGAACCCCATCCAGGCCACCCATGCGCATGGCAGGGACCTAGGCACCGGAGGCATCATCTGCCATCTCCCAGGCGCATTAGCAGGGAGTGTGGGGAGCAACCGGACTAGACTGAGTTACTGGAATTAAGACTTATTCTATGCATCTGCTCTCCCACAATATGGCGCTGGGAGAGAAGTAAACAGCTTCCGCACAGCTGCCTCCAGTTCAGGTAATAAACTGTAGGACTTGCTCCTGATTGGAGAGCAGCGTACTCGGCGTGTGGGCAGCCGAGTTGGGATTGGCGGAGGAGGACTATAAAGGAGGAGAGAGACGGCATGCACCAGGAACATCTAAGGGGAACATCTAAGGGGAACATCTAGCTGAAGGAACACCTGTGCAGCCCCCAAGAGAGCCGGCCGGCGGTGTGCCGCTCCCCTGCGGAAGTGGGGAATGTGGCTAGGGGGAACTGCCCTTCCACGGAGGTGGAAGGGATAGTAGCCGACCCGGGAAGAACCAGCAGCAAACCCGGGGAGGGCCGAGCAGACGAAAGAACAGCGCAGGGTCCTGTGTCATTCCTCCACGAAGAGGGGGAGCGACAAGGGAGCTGGATTGGAAGTTGAGTAGCCAGGACCCCGATTTGGGATGTGTGTGCCCCAAGTGGCAGCTTAACCCACTGTGCCCCAATGCCTGCCCCGTTCCCTTCTCGTTCTGTTAAGTTCCTTCAGCTAGATGAAGTGTTCTTGAGTTCTCCAGAATGGGGACCTCACTACAGTACACTCCCCAGCTCTCGTTTGTTATTATTCTTGATAACAGAACCTGTGAAATCTCAGTCATCAAGCCAGGCTCCAGGCCAACCACACATTATTATTTTGATTAGATTTGGCCTACCCTTTGACAGCCAGGTGTCTAGGGAAGAGAACTATCTTTCAGTGTCCTTATAGATAACAGTAGAGTCTGCAGCACTCGGAGTTTAAAGACAGAAAGCTGGGAATTCACGGGCTGAGGAGGCTGGGAGGAAGCTTGGAGCCCCCGGTCCAACTTCTTTATTCATGGAGTGATTTATTGTGCTCCAGGGTGCAGCGCCCTTGGTCCTCTGAACGCTCCAGGAAAAGCAGTCACTCTTGCCAGCCAGAATGAATTTGGGAATACGTGAGGTGGATGATCTCTCTCCGGGTCTCAGTGTGCTCCTGTCCCTGGCTGTGGAGCTTAGCTTGGTTACTGTGCAAACAGGAGAGCTGACATTCTTCCACTCTGCCCCCATCAGGCCCATAAGCCAGCACAGCCAGCTCCTGGAGAGGTTAAAAGGCACAAAGTCGGTGACCAAGCAAGCACAGTGTGTAAGGGTACTGTGGCCACACGAGAGATGACGGGAAGCAGTGGGTGTCTGTGAACAGAACACCTGTTTAAAAGGTGGCAGGTGCTACCCAGCTCCACTTCATTGCAGCCATGTGGAGCTATGGATCAGTATTGCCAAATCTCTACATTTTTTAAAAAACAATTATTTGAGAGGCAGAGTTACAGAGGGAGATATACAGAGATCTTCCATTCACTAGTTCACTCCCCAAATGGCTGCAGTGGTTGGAGCTGGGCTGATCTGAAGCTAGGAGCCAGGAACTTCTTCTGAGTCTCTCACCGGGATGCAGGGGCCCAAGCACTTGTGTCATCTTCCGTTGCTTTCCTAGGCCACAGCTGAGAGCTAGATCGGAAGAGGAGCAGCTGGGACAGATACCGGTGCCCATATGGGATGCCAATGCCTTAGTGGGAGGTTTAACCTGCCATGCCATAATGCCAGCCCCAAATCTTGCCATTTTTTAAGGAATGAAACCAACACTGCTATAAAATTTCCCAAATAAAATAGTTTTTGTCTTATTTTAAAGACACAGAGACCTACCATCTGCTGGTTCACTCCCGAAATGCCTGCAACAGCCAAGGCTAGGCCACATGCAGGCCAGAACTCAACCCAGGGCTCCCACATGGGTGGCAGGGAGTTGAGCCATCATCTGCTGCTCCCTAGGGTGTGCATTAGCAGGAAGACGAGCCAGAACTCAAACCACGCACCCTGATACGACATGTGGGCTTTGCAAGCCATGTCGTAACTGCTGCACCACTCGCCCGCCCCAGCTGTGTGCAGACCAACCCAGACATCCCTCAGTCTGCTCAGGCTGCCATAGCAGAATGCGATACAGTGGACGGCTTAAACAACAAACATTTCCTTCTCTTAGTCCTGGAAGTTGGAAGAGCAAGATCAAGGCGCCAGCATGGGCAGATTTTCGGTGAGGGGCCTCTTCCTGGCTATGTTTTTATGCTCCAGTTCTTTTCCTGTAAGGACACTGGTTCCACCAACGGGGCTCCCCTCCCCCAGCGTCTAAACCTAATTACTGCCAAAGGCCCTGCATCCTAACCCCATCCCATTAGAGGCAAGGAGGACATTTCAAGGTAACACAAACTTTACTCAGCAACAGTATCTATAGGCCAGATTTGGCCCTTGGCACATCCACTTACATCCATTGTTTAACCTCTGGGAGTTAAGGGCTTTCTCACTCTAATGGTAGATTTCTAAGTAAATAAACGAGTAATTTGGGGATAGCTACGAAAAGATAACTAAGCAAATCTGAGAGGTTTACAGGAGCCTTGTCAATAGGAAGTTTCCTCACATACTGTTGTGTAAACAGCAACTAGCAGATGACCCTAACTATGAGTAATTATAATTTAAAAAGCTGTATCTAGGGCCAGCATCGGGGCACAGTGGATTAAGCTGCCGCCTATGATGCAGGCATCCGTATGGGTGCCCGTTCCACTCCCAGCTGCTCCACTTCTGATCCAGCTCCCTGCTGATGTGCCTGGGAAAGCAGCAGCAAATGCCCCAATTGCTTGGTGCCCTGCACCATGTGGGAAACCCGGATGAAGCTCCTGGCTTTGGCCTGGCCCAGCCTCAGCTGCTGCTGCCACCTGGGGAGTGAGCTGGCAGACAGAAGATCTCTCTGTAAGTCTGCCCTACAAATAAGTACATTAAAAATAAATTAAAGTGATATCCACAGGCAGGTGGCTCTGTGTTCCAGTTAACTCACCACCTGCACGTGGTCCGTGTTCCACTGTTTTCCCAGGCACAGTGGCAGGGAGCTGGATGGGAAGTGGTGCTACTGGGGCAGGAAGGCACTCATGTGGGATGCCGGCACTGCAGGCTGCAGCTGCCTCTGATGCCAGCCCCACCACAGTGTCCTCAGCACCACGCGCAGTAACGCAACACCACTCCCAAGACTGCACTGGCGGTGCCCTCCCAGAGCTGCTGGACTCCCAGGGCCTGGTGAGTGTGGCCTGCCCCTTGGACCACAAGCTCTGGGCCTCAGCCAACTCTGCTGCTCCCTGTCCTCAATTTATGGAGCTCAAATTTGCCCTTAAAACACGAGCGAGTTGCCTTTTAGTCCTCACCCGCCTCCCCCATCTGCCTGTGAGAACTGAAGAAGGAACCTCCACTTTGGGGTCCTTGGGGCTCAAGGCCAGGCTGAACTCTCAGAGCCGACTTATCTCCCCACCCCGACCCCCGCACAGCTGTCCCTACACCGGACAGGGAAAAGGAACTCTCCCGGCAGCTGGCTGTCCCGACCAGTCCCTCACGTCCCTCGAGTCAAAGTCCCTGCTCACAGAGTCCATCTTCAAAGAGGAGTACGTGGTCAGTTTGCCCGTGGAGGAGTGGCCGCAGGGAGAAGGTACTGCTGTCCTTACCCTTGGCCCTCTCGAGTTACCTGCCTAGATGTCCCAGGGCCAGCCCAGACACGCCCTAAGAAGGGGACAGTGAGGCCACCACCCGCCGACGAACGCTCGGCCTAAGCCGGCTGCGCTGGCGCACCCAGTCGGGCCCTGCGGCTCGCATGCCTTCGGGGCCCCAGCGTCCAGACTCTGGTGTGGGAGGGCAAGCTTAGCACGGGTAAGAGCCCCAGCCTCCTGACCCGGGAGTCGACTCCTGCGCAGGGAATCGCGACCGTCTAAACTCAGTCCCCACGCACGCAGCGTCGGGGCAGTGGGCGGACAGCTGCGCCGCACGTGACCTCCCATCCGCGCCCTCCGCCCTGTCGGCATCGGGGCGGGGCCTTGAGGGGCGGCTGCGCGGCGATTGGCAGGGAGGCGGAGCCCGCGGCGTGCGCGCGCGGAAGAAGCGAGTCGTGGGCGTGGCCAGGTGAGCCAGGCGCGGCTGCGATTGGCCGGGGGGCGTGCCGAGGCGGGGCCGCCGGCGCCGGCCGAGGGAGGGGCCGCAGCAGCGGGAGCTGGGCAGCTCGGCATGCACCTGAGCCGACGCCCCTGGTCCCTGAAGCAGTGCCTCTGCGGTCGCCGCCGCTGCCGCCGCCATGAACCGTTTCAAGGTGTCCAAGTTCCGGAACGTGGAGGTCCGCCTGTCCCGCCGCGAGGTGAGCCCAGCCCGCAGGCCCCACGCTCTCACCCCAGAACCCGGCCGCCGCCCTTCCCCCAGCCCAGGCCCTGCAGGGGGACCCCGGGGTTTTGCCGGGACCTGCGAGCCCTCCTGCCCCGGGGCGCCCCCTTCAGGCCAGGGCCCCGGTGTCCTGGGATGCCCCGTCGCCGGCGGGATGGCAAAGGCGGCAGTCCCGTGGCGCGCTACGGCCATTCGGTGGTCCCCGAGGGCCGTCTGTCCCGCCCGCTTGCCCCGGGACCCCCGAGGCGGCTCAGCCCTCCCGCTGGGGCCGAGGCCTGAGGCCTGCGAGGCCGCCTGCCTGCTTGGCTTCCGGTCGGCCTCGCCGTGGAGTCCGGGCTCGGGGCACCAGGGGCATCCTGCTCTTCGTCCCCGACGCCCAGGTCGCCCCCGCCCGGAGCGAGGTGCGGGAGGAGCGCCCGTCTTTTCCCGGTCTTGGCCGTCGGAGCGTCGGCTGGGAGGGGAGCCCCATCGGCCCCACGCGCGCCCCTCCCGCGGGTTTCCGCCGGCGCTTCCTCCTCTGCTCGCGCAAGCTCTTCCCCTGCTGGGGTGATGCTGCTGCCTGTGGCTGGGTGGAGCCCGGAGGAGCACGAGCTGAGAGGATGAGGAAGGTGGCGGACCCCCCTCCCAACCCCCGGAAGGGCAGCCGGCGTCTCAGAGCTGATGCCAGACCCGATCTGCTGCCCGCTGTGTCGTTAGGAGGGCCTGGGGACTGACCCCTAGTGACCCAGCTAGCGGCGCCAAAGCAAGCCCGGGCAGCCTGGGTAGGTCCCCAGCGGCTGCGACCACAACGCTGAACACGACAGCGTTTTCCACTTACAGCGTCCTGCGAGCAGCGGGCACTTGTGGCCAGTTTCAGTCAGTGCCTTGAAGCGCGCACAGGAGGAAAGTGGTGACGAGAGGGTTAATTTCAGTAGATGGGGTGGTAGGCTGCCTGGAGGAGGTGGCATCTCAGCGGAGGCCAGATGGGTGAGAGGTGGAAGGGAGCCTGGTGGAGGATGGGGGGCGGTGGTCAAGGAAGTGTGGCAACAGGTGAGTCCAGAGTAGCCCCACGGAGCCCCAGGGCCAGGTGAGAAATTGGGTTTTATTCCGAGTGCGGTGAGGTTGGGGGTGCTCAGGCCCTTGGTCCGAGTGCAGTACGTGGAGGGGTCTGCAGAGTCCTGGAGCGGCCCTGGAGCTCACGCTGGCCCAGCCTCGGTTTAGCAAGGCCCACAGGCGGCCGGGACCACAGGAGGAACTTCAAACAGTTTCTGGCAGGGAGGGGGGAGAGCGGAGACCCCTCTGCTTTCCACAGTTGTGTCCTGCCGCTGTGTTTGTGCAGTGCAATGAGAAACTCGGCGAGGCCCTCCCGTGCCGCCCACGGCGGTGAGCGTTGGAATGGATGTGGCCGTGGGTGGACTGGGACGTGGGGTGCTCCCTCACCGGGGGCAGGCAGGAGTGTGAGCGGTGCCCCTCTGTGCACAGAAGGAATACGGGGACCTCGCCACCTTAGTGTCCTGACGAGTGTTCCTCCGCTTCCCCGTGAGGGCGTGGTCCCAGTGCTGCCGTCCCAGTCCCGGCATCTGGGACCTCCGGGATTGGCCTCCATGTTTCCCACTCTGTTCTGCTGCTTGGAGGAGATACCTGTTGAGTCTGACCAGGTGCTCACCTCTCCTTTCTCTGCTCTTTGCCCTCTTCATCAAATACAAACACCCTTGGGGCCGGCGCTGTGGCTAGCAAGTAAAACGGCCACCTGCAGTGCTGGCATCCCACATGGGCACCGGTTTGAGTCCTGGCTGCTCCACTTCTAAGGTAGCTTCCTGCCAATGTGCCTGGGAAGGCAGCAGCCGATGACCCAGGTGCTTGGACCTCTGCACCACGTGGGAAACCTGGAAGAAGCTGCTGGCTCCTGGCTTCAGCCTGGCCCAGCCCTGGATGTTGGGGCCATTTGGGGAGTGAACCACTGTCTCTGTGCCTCTGCCTCTCAAATAAACAAGTCAATCTTAAAAACAAAGATAACAGAATAATCCCTATCTCTCCATGTGTGGGCTTGATAGCTTGCTGACTTCACTTGCCCTGAGCTTATCTGACAGCCCAGAATCCCTTGTTAGGGAACTGACTTGAGTGAAATTGTACCCTTCATTACCTAGGTTATCATTTCAAGAACACCTTACATTTTGCTTTTTAAAAATTCAGCATTTGTTTGAAAGGCTCAGAGACAGACAGATACAGAGTTCTTCCATCCGCTGGTTCACCCTCCAGCTTGTCTCCACAGCCGCAGCGGGGCTGGCCTTGGCCACAGCCAGGAGATGGGAACTCCGTGTGGGTGGCAGGGACTCAAGTACTTGTCATCACCTGCCACCTCCCAGGGTGCACATGAGCAGAAAGCTGGAATTGGAAGTGGAGCTGGGACTGCAACCCGGGCATTCCAGCATGGGACGCAGGCGTCCCAAGCGGAGTCTTAGTCAATGCACCAAGCACCCACCCACCCACCTGCATTGTGGGGACAGGGTTTGATCCAGAGGAAATGCCTCTAGTGGTGCAGCTGTAAGGCGGAGTTCCCTGGATGATACCCCACCGCCTCGCGCTGGTTGTGAACAAAGCCCTGTCCGTTACCTCACCTTTCTGATTCTTTATGCTCAGGCCTGGATCAGTAACATCCAAGCAGGGACTGCCCCTTCGAGTGGGAACCGTATCAAGTCCAGCTGCAGCCTGATCGCCTTCAACTCCGACCGTCCAGGTAGGGGCTGGACAGAGATATGGGCTTTCAGGCGTTGCTCAGGCCAAGTTCAGGAGTGGGTGCCAGGCCTTGGGTCGCTACACACTGGTCAGCGTGCAGTAGGCAGCTGGATTTTGATGAGGGCAAGGGTGGACTCCGGAGTGTGGCCGGGAGGACAGGTGCGGGAATGAGGCTGAGTTCGCAGCGAATGCCACATGCTGCCCCCTCCCCATCAGTGGGACACAAGAAGAGAAGAGGGCCTGCGTGTGGTGGGGCTCTCTCCACTGCTTGTGACTGCTCAGCCCCGGGACCGACTTCTGGAGACGAGCTGGCCTGTCTGATCAGAACTCGGGGCTCACCTGTGCCCTCACATTTGATAAGGAACCTCTTTGCCCAGGGTCTTCTACATATTTAATGGGTGACAGTTCCTGCGTGGGGCGGGAACCTAGCCCTGGGCCTGGAGGCTCTGAGAAGCTCCAGGGCCGAGCTTTTGGGACTTGTCTCCTCTGGGAGTCTTGGGCAGGGAGGTGGGTGGTCCCTAATAGCCGCAAAGTGAGAGCCCTGTGTTTGTTCAACAGGTGTGCTGGGCATCGTGCCTCTGGAGGGCCAAGGAGGGGACAAGAGACAGGTGGCCCACCTGGGCTGCCATTCAGGTGAGTGGTGCTGGCCCCAGGAAGCCTGGAGCACTGTCCCTCTCCCAGGCTAGGAATTCATACTCACAGGGGACCACAGCCCCATGGTTTTCCAGGTGCCCCCGTTTACACTGCACGTTCTGGCCTGGGCACAGGGGAGGGCCCTGGATGCTCCACGTGGTCAGGCTGGGCAAGGGGGACATGCAGCGGCCAGCCCAGGCCCCAGGCTGCTGCTGGCTCCTGTTCATTGCTGAGGACTCAGCCCCGTGTGGCTCTTCACCCTGAGGACTCAGCCATTTGTGGCTCTCCACTGCTTTCCCGGAGCCTCGTAGGAGCGCTGCACACCAGGCACCCACCAGCCAGGCTGCTGGGCTGTGGGCTGGAAATGGGCTTCACAAAGGGAGCTTTTGTTGGCTGCAGCTGCTTCTGGGGGCACCCAGCATCCCGCCTGGCAGCCTGCCCACTCCCAGCAAGCAGTTTGCTCTCCCTCTCCCAGGCTGAGGCTGCACCGGTGGCTAGCTTGGCTCCCCGTCCTGCCGCGGGCGGCTGTAGTCCTGGCCATGTGTTGGGAGACCTAGGGGTGAGGGAACGGAGTGGGTCCTTGGTCCTTCGGCCGGGCGTGCGGCTCAGTGTGGGGTGCCGGTGGTTAGTGACGTGGTGAGGATTTGCGGCAGGAGCTCTCTGGGCTTGGTACCCGCCTGCGTTCTCCCAGCTAACCTTCACAAGGAGCTTGTTAGCGCAGCTCTGTTGAGGTGCCGTTTCCATGCCGTCGACGTCCCCTGTTTGAGGTGAAGAGTTTGATGAAAATCGCAGAGTGGCGCCCCACGCCCGGCTTTGAGCGTTTTCCACCAACCCCAGAGGATCTCTGAGCCTCTGCGGGCTGTCTTCCCGCTCGGGGCCAGAGGGCTGCCGCCTGCTTCTGTAGACAGCTTTGTCGCAGCCCCGCCGCTGCCGTTCCTCGCCGTCTCTGGCATCTGCCTGCTCTTCTGGCTGCACAGCTGAGTGGCTGCGGCGACCGTGGGCCCTGAAGCCCTGAGATCTTGCAGGGAGCGCTGGCCGCCCTGCCATCGAATGGCCTTCTCCAAGACGCCTCGTACCACCTGAGCCATCTGATGCCTGGCACGCGTTCTTTCAGACTGGCTCCTTTTCCATGCAACGTTTTAGGGCCCGTGTATGTGGTAAACCCGAGGCTCGGGGCCCTGAGGCATTCACCAGGGTTCAGATAGCCAGTGTCGGAACCCGGCGGGGAGCCGCCCCAGCTTGGTGATGCCCGCTAATTGTGAGCCCCTGTTTGAGGGCTCCTCTGGCGTCAGTGAGCAGGCTGTCACCCCGGTGTGGCTGCGGCTTCTTGGAGCCCCTGCCTGCAGGAGCAGCCTGGCAGGAAGCCGCTCTGGGCGGTGGCTGACTGCGGCTCCCTTGGAGCCTGCTGCAGAGGGGCCAGGTGCTGTTCTGCCCTTGTAGCTGTGGGTGGGGAGCGGGCCTGGGGTGGTCTGGGCCCTGGCTGCGGCCTCTTGTATGAGGGCACCTTGCCTCCGCCGGCCCCTTCAGCCCAGCAGCGAGGAGCAGGGGCAGAGTGGCGGGGAGCACCGGCATTGTGGTTGCAGTGTCAGGGCTGTGCAGGTGGCGGCCGTGGCCTTTACGAGAGGAGGTTCCGGAGTCAGGACCCAGGCTGCCTGGGCCTCACCCTCATCCCTGCCGCTTCTTGGCTGTGTGACGCTGGACAAGATCCTTACCCGCTGGGTTTCGTTGTCCTCGTCCCCCCGCTGGGATCACTGTGGGGATCCAGTGAGGCACGTGTCTGAGGCTCTGAGGCCACGTGCTCAGATCGCTCCACGCGGGAGTGCATCGCTTTCTTGCTGGCACTGCCACGCTGCCCAGGCTGGTGGCTACCTGGGTGGCAGGGTGTCCACAGCTCCAGGTCCAGGACTGTCGTGGTCCTGCAGCTGAGAGTCCAGGCGGGGACCCTCCTGAGGGCTGCCTGTCCATATCTACCCCGTTTTCTCCTGTTGCCTCTCCTGTCAGCCCCCTGGGAGGAGGTGGATGGCAGAGGATGGCGGCTGTGCCCCTGCTGTGGTGACCCCAGGCTGCAGTCCTGTTCGTTACCCGCCCTCCACCCCTTGTCTTGACTCCCACACCCCCAGCCTCGTTCCCCCGGCGCTCTGGTTCACTCTGAACCAGACCTGCCCCAGCTTGCTTAAGCCAGAAAGGGGTTTGCCGGGCAGCTCCTGGGGACTCCATACTGAAGAGGAGCTGGATGTCAGCCAGGTGACTGTGTCCCTGAAGTGCCTGGTGACCCCAGGATCTTCCTGCCCTCGGCCACCCTGGGTCAGCAGGCTCTTAGGCAACTCTCGGCTGCCTCCGTGTGGCCAGAGCCATCCTCTCCAAGCCCAGGGCATGGTAGCAGGCTCAGCTGTTCCTCTCCCACAGACCTGGTCACGGACTTGGACTTCTCGCCCTTCGATGACTTCCTCCTGGCCACGGGCTCAGCCGACAAGACGGTGAGTAGAGGCAGTTGGAGGAGCTGCTGGCGGTTCCACCCACCCGAGTCAGGGCCTCCTGAGCCCCCGGAGCTCTGCCCCCACTCCTGCACTCCGGGCCCCTCCCTGGGTTTTGGTTTCCTGGCGCTCGGGACAGATGTGGGGCTGCAGCACCTCCTGCTGGATCTTTGTGGGGATTGAGTGAGGCTTGTGCACGGCAAGGACTCGGGTACGGTTACGTCTCAGTCTCATTCTTTCCAGAGAAAGCTCACAGGTTGGGCCAGATCTAGCTTTTTCGGTCCTGGACCCACCCTGGCTCCCAAGTGCCTGCTTGGGGCCGTGGCTGTGATGTGCCCTGGGGCAGCAGGGTGAGGTGAGGTGGGAGGCTCAAGGGGCCGGTGAGTGCCCGGCGCCTTCTCCGCCAGCCTCTGACCGCACCGTGAGGCCCCTGAGCTGGCCTTCCCTCTCGCTCTAGGCCCTGGCTGCCAGGGTGGGCGGGGTTCCCTCTCTGCCTTCCTCGTGGGGCAGCCCTGTGCTCACAGCCTGTCTTCCCCAGGTGAAGCTCTGGCGTCTGCCGGCCCCAGGCCAGGCGCCGCCCTCAGGGCCCGGGGTGGTGCTGGGACCCGAGGAGCACCCCGTGGAAGCTCTCCAGTTCCACCCCACTGCTGACGGCGTTCTCGTGAGCGCGGCAGGCACAGCCGTGAAGGTCTGGGACGCGGCCGCGCGGCAGCCCCTGACAGGTACGGCCTCCGCGGCCAGCCCTGGCGCTCCCGGGGCAGCACTTTTTTCCTGGGCAGTGGCGTCGGGGCCGTCTGCCCGCACAGCAGACAAAGCTCGAGTTCCGCAGGCTCCCAGTGGGGCTGTTTTCCTTCACTTTGCCAAGTAACTTCCCGATGCTCTCAGTTCTTTAAACTGTTGGCATTGACTTCCCACCTGGGGGTGAGGATCTGGCTCTCTTGGGCACCCCCTCCTTCCTGTTGGGACTTCTGCCCTCCCAGCCTGGCCAGAAAGGAGACCTCAGTGTCTGCGTTGTTGTGGCTCTGCGCCCCAGCTGAGCCCCGCAGCCCTCCCTCGGGGCCCCCTGGACGGAAGAACCTGAGGCTCAGAGGGTTGAGGGTCACGCTGGCTCCGGAGAGTGTTCGGTGTCTGGGCTGGGACTGAGAACTGTTTTCTGAGCTCTGCCTGCCGCGGGCTGTCAGCCACGTCACCAGGTACCCCAGGCACTGGCTCCTGTGCAGTTGCGTTGTGCCATGGGGTGCAGGAGCCCCTGTGGGGTCCAGGAGGCTGGCCTGACCCTGGAGGCAGAGCTGGAGGCCACCAGCCCTCCTGTCTGTCAAGAGGGAGTCGCTTACGAAGCTCAGGCCTGTGCTGAGGCTGAGAGCCTCGTGACCCCCGGCCTGATGGCTGGAGGCAGCTCTGTTGGGAGGTGCTGCCGTTCCCGGGGTACAGGTGAGGCTCATGGTGAAGCCACTGGGCCAGGGCTGTGGTCCAGGTAGTGGCAGAGCCGGGATTAATCCCCCGGGAGTAAATCTTCGTGTAGTACTTATCTCTTGGTTTGGAACGAATTACTTCAAAACGCAGGGGCCTAAAACATCTGTAAACACCGATCATCTCACACGTTTGCGAGGGTCAGGGAGTCGGGAGCTGTTTAGCAAGGTGATGTGTGCTCAGGGTCTCGGGAGCTGCTGTCACCTGAAAGCTGGCCTGGGGGGCTGCTTCCAAGGTGTTTTGCCCACAGGCTGGGGGCAGGGGTCAGGGTTCTTCGCATGCAGGCCAGGAACCCCCTCCCAGAGTGGCGGCCGGCCGGCTGCCTGCAGTGAACAGAGCCCCAGCGAGAGCGAGTGTCTTGCAGCCGAGCCTTGGAGGTCTCAGATCGTGGCCTCTGCTGCGTTCCCTCCGTCAGAGGAGAGCCACAGGGTTCCGAGTGAGGCAGCTCCTGCTGTCAGGGAGTGTTCGATTCCCGTGGCTGCTGTTACAAAGAACCATGCACTGGCGGCTTCCGGTGACCGCGCTGTTGTCTGAGTCCCAGGCGTGGGCCGGGGTGGTCCCTCCTGAGGCCCCTGCTGGCCCCTGTGGATGGTGGAGGGCCCTGTTCTCCCGAGTCCTCACTGTCAGCTTGTCCATGTGCAGATCCAGTCGTAAGGGTTAGGGCCCAGCACAGTGACCTCGGCTTAGCTCGGCCATCAGCAAAGGTCAGTTCAGAGCTCAGTTAAGGTCCCATTAGGGAGTTAGGACAGTGACATCTTTTGAGGGGACACAATTCAGCTCATGACAGAGGCTTCAGGAATGTGTGGACATATTTGGAGATCCCTGCAGCAGGGCAGGAGAATGGCAGGAATGACCCAGTGGGGAGATGGGGGGTAGGGAGGAAGTGAGCCTGGGGGGGTGAGAGCCAGGCAGCATGTCTGAGTGGGGGTGTGGCCTGACCACTGGGGTGCAGTACAGCCCGTCTGGGAGGAGCCGCCATCCTTGCCTGCCCCTTCCAGCTGAAAGGCACCCTTGTCACCGCTGCCTTTGCCCCTGGAGCCCCCCAGGCCAGGTCCGCAGCAGCCTCCCTGCTGCCCACGTTGAAAGGTCCTGACTTGGCTGCTTCCCTGCAGAGCTGGTGGCCCACGGGGACCTGGTGCAGAGCGCAGTCTGGAGCAGGGACGGAGCCCTGGTGGGCACGGCGTGCAAGGTGAGCAGGTGACGGACAGCCCCTGGGAGTCGTGCTCAGGGCCAGCCTGGGCTCAGCTTTCAGGCTCGGTATTCACGCGGCTGAGGGGCTCTGGACTGCTGAGGGGCAGTGAGCTCCTCACCCCCAGCTGCCCCTCACTTCTCTGCCCCTGCCCTACGTGGGTCCCTATCAGATGGAGACCTGAGGGCTGCCCCAAGGCCTCCCCTGTGGGTCCCTGGTGTGTGCAGCTGGACTCCAGCCCTACACTGGGCCGGCCTCCCTGCTGGTGTCCAGGCTCCCTGCTTCCCGTGCGGTCGGGGGCAGCAGCATCTGTGCAAGGCGTGAGCCAGGCCCTGCGCATCAGGGAGGGATACGCATTGCGGGTTGAGCTGCTGCCTGCAACACTGGCATCCCATATTGGAGGGCCAGTTTGAATCCTGGCTGCTCCACTTCTGGTCTGGCAACCTGCCAATGCACTTGCGAAGTAGCAGTTGATAGCCCAGTGCTTGGGCCCCTGCCACCCATGTGGGAGACCCGGATGGGGTTCTGGGCTCCTAGCTTTGGCTCAGGCATTATGGCCATTTACGGAGTGAACCAGCAGGTGGAAGATCTCTCTATTGCTCCCTCCCTCTCTGTTACTCTGTCTTTCAAACAAATAAGTGGATCTTAAAAAAAGCATGGACAGTGGAGAGGACAGGGTCATACCCTGTGCCCTGTCCCTGAGACTGGGACGTGGAGTTCGGAGCTGCTCAGGGCTCGGACACGGAGAGCTCTGAGAGGAGCGTTCCTGGAGCTGGCGGGTGCTGGTGGTATGGGCACTGGTGGTGTGGGCACTGGTGGTGTGGGCACTGGTCCACAAGGAGATAGCACAGCGCACTGGGTGCAGAGAGCGGGGCACGTCCAAGCTGCACCCACAGAGGCAGGAGCGAAGCCGTGTGCCTGAGGCGCGTGCTTGTTGACGTATGGACAGCAGGAGAGCAGTGACGTGTTTAAAGCCATGAGATGAGCAGGTTTGCATTTGGGAGCTTCCATGGGAGCTGCTGTGGACAGAGCGGCACTGCGGGCAAGCGGAAGTGAGACGGCCCTCGGGGGAGAGAGGACGTCCTCGGCTTGGGTGGGGACTGTGGGGGGGAGTGGAGGAGAGGTGTGGCCCTGGGAGACCCTGGGCAGGAGAGAGCCTGGTGGTTGGTAGTGCGGTGGGGTCACGAGGCTGACCTGGCTCGCGGAGGGGAGAGGCCCGCACAAGAGGACGCACTCTCGTTCCTTGGGCCGCCTGTGTGAGTGCTCTGGGCAGGACTGGACACAGGAGTAGTCATAGCATGTTGAGCTGGAGCTAGCTGGAGGCGTCCTGGCAGGGGAGTTGCCGACTGGGCGAGTGAGTGGGAGGGCTCAGCCCAGCCCCTTTGCCCCCACTTGGGACAGAAGTGTTTCTCCGGACACCCGGGGCCTAAGGCTGCAAGGGTTAGAAGCGCTCATTTCCCAGGTGGATCATGGGAGGGATGGTAAGAGGAGCGACTCCTCGTCTGCCCCAGTCCCAGACCTGGGTGTTCTCATGGCACGTGGGGTGGGAGCTCGTCGTGAGCTTCCGGCAGGATTGCCTACAGCAGGCGGGGGACCGAGCCCCACTTTGTCAGTGGTCACCGGCCTAGGCTCTGCATTTGTGCGCTGGGGCTGCTTGAGCCCAGAGCTGCCTGGTGCATGTGGGACGCTGTTTCCCCTCGGACTGAGGGGGAAGCTCCCTGCCCTCGGTGCCCACTGCTGCCTGTCCTGCTGGTGTTGTCTGGAACAGAGGTGCCTCCTGGGACCAGCCTAGCCCTCTCCTGCTCCCCTCCCAGCTGCTCCCCACCTCAACCCGAGAGAGCTGGCCGCTAGGGGGCGTGCGGGCCTCGCAGATGGCAGGATTCAGCCCCTGCGCTCTGGGCGCTGCACTCCCTGCCCAGCCAGAACAGCCTCGGTGCCCCCTGTGAGCCCTGATTTGGACCCAGCATTAAACTTCTGTCTTCATGGGTGCTCACTGTGTGCCAAGGACTGTGCTGTGCCCTCAGCCCCAGTACTGGGCCTTTAAGAGGTGCCACCGTCGTCCCATCTGGAGCCGGATGCCTGTCTGTTCTGGGCAGCTGTGTGCAGCGGGAACAGCCCGACTGCCTGGTGGTGTTCTCCTGTCCCTCATCTCTCCAGGCTCTTGTCTCTCCTGCCCTGTCCCCTTCTCTGTCTCTGCCCTTCACTGTCCTGTTTGTCTCTGTCCTTTGTCCCTAGCTGTCACCTCTGTCCTCATCTCTCTGGTCTCCATCTGTCTCCAGAGGGCTGCTGCACGCACGGCTGTGGACAGAACAGAGCTTCCGTGCCAGTCCACAGGCTGTGCCTGGTGCCCACCTGGCACATGGCAGGTGCTCCATCAGCTGCTGCCAGGAGGGCTTTGCCAAGGGTGGCACGGAGCTCCGGGACCCTCTGAGCCATGCCAGGGAAGCCTGGCTTTCAGGGCCCATTCTGGGCTGTCTGCTGCCTGCTCCCACCCCATTCCCACCATCTGCTTCCTCACCCGGCGTCACACACCAGCAAGCTCCTGGCTGCACGTCTTCCTGCTGCTGGCCTGCCTCCCCTCGTGCCTCTCCCCTCCCTGTGTAAGCTCTGCTTACCTTTTTGAGGTTCTACGTGGATCCGAGCTCCTCCCCAGAGGCCTTCGCTGGGCCCTGGTCACTCATTGCTTAGTCCCCAGCACCCGGGCAGGAGCTGCACATAAAGCAGGCATTCGTTTGGGGTTGCCCTTTCATCTTGTTTGGCTTTTACTTAATGGACTATTTTCCAGGCTAGTTGTTGAGGAAGACTGAGCAGACAGCACAGACTCCCCTGCCTCTCCAGCTCCTTACTAGCCCCTCGCCTTGGCATGGGGCACTGTCGCCGTGGGTGAGCCCACGCGTGGCTGTGACCTGAGGGCTCGCTCTGTTCTGGGCATCCTCTGGGCTGGAACGTGAGGCTCTCCTGAATCCAGTGCTCCTCCCTCCCCCGCTGCCCTGGGGAGCCCTGCTCTGTCCGCAGTCTCTGGAGGCCTTTTCCAGAGGGCCACGCTTCCAGACCTCGCACCTGGCAGTGTCCACTCGGGGCCGCGCTCCCAGACCTCGCACCTGGCAGTGTCTACTCGGGGCCACGCTCCCAGACCTCGCACCTGGCAGTGTCCACTCGGGGCCGCGCTCCCAGACCTCGCACCTGCCAGTGTCCACTCGGGGCCGCGCTCCCAGACCTCGCACCTGCCAGTGTCCACTCGGGGCCGCGCTCCCAGACCTCGCACCTGCCAGTGTCCACTCGGGGCCGCGCTCCCAGACCTCGCACCTGCCAGTGTCCACTCGGGGCCGCGCTCCCAGACCTCGCACCTGCCAGTGTCCACTCGGGGCCGCGCTCCCAGACCTCGCACCTGCCAGTGTCCACTCGGGGCCGCGCTCCCAGACCTCGCACCTGCCAGTGTCCACTCGGGGCCGCGCTCCCAGACCTCGCACCTGCCAGTGTCCACTCGGGGCCGCGCTCCCAGACCTCGCACCTGCCAGTGTCCACTCGGGGCCGCGCTCCCAGACCTCGCACCTGCCAGTGTCCACTCGGGGCCGCGCTCCCAGACCTCGCACCTGCCAGTGTCCACTCGGGGCCGCGCTCCCAGACCTCACACCTGGCAGTGTCCACTCGGGGCTCTTCCATGTCTTTGGACTCGTGTCTAGTTTTTGTTTTTTTTTAAAAAAATTACGGTTAAAAAGAAAAGTCATGAAATACATCGTCTTAGCCATCGTTCTGTGTGCGGTGTCACGCAAGAGAGTGCTGTAAGCATGACTGCCCGCCCCGCCCCCGCCCCGCCCCGGCCCCGCCCCCACCCCCGCCCAGTGACTGCCATGCCCCTTCCTGCTTGAGAAGTGGAGCGCTTCGCCGCTTGTCCTTTGGTGACTGGCACGTTTCGCTCAGCACCTGAAGCCAGCTCCTCATGGGGGGGTCTCCTCCTCCTTTGAGGCCGCATAGTATTCCGTTGCATGGCAATTCCGGGTTTGGCTGAGCCAGTCCTCCACCAGCACCGTGGGCTTGTCTCCACCGCGGGCCGTCGTGAGCAGTGCTGTGTGCCCATGCCTCACCACCCTGCTTTCAGGTCCTTTGGCTGTGCCTCCTGACGTGGGGTTGCTGGGTCTTATGGTGGGACCCACATTGAAATTCTTGAGACGCCGCCCTACTGTTTTCTCCAGCGGGGGCACCGTTTTACAGCCCTTACAGCAGTGTACAAGGCTTCGCGTGCCCACCAAAACTTGGGTTTTTTCCTTTAAGTTTGAGGGACAGACAGACTGATGGAGACAGCTCTCGTCCGCTGCTTCGCTCCCCAAGTACCTTCAGTGGGCAGGGCTGGGCCAGGCGGAAGGAACTTAGACAGGAACTCGATCCAGGTCTCCCACGTGGGTGACAAGGACCCAGCCTCTGGAGCCGCCGCTGCTGCCTCTGTGGTGTTTGTGAGTAGGAAGCTGGGGCAGGCGTGCAGCTGGGACCCCCCCAAGGCAGGCACTCCACCACAGGATGCAGGCGTCTCAACGGCTAGGCCACGTGCCCGTCCCTGTCTCACATTTCTTGTGGTAACCATCCTAATAGTGTCGGTAATATCTGCCTGTGGTTTGGATTTCTCTCATCTGGTGGATAATGACTTTGAACATCTTTTCATGTATGAGCTTTCCTGGGAGAAATGTCTGTTCTAGTTCTTTGCCCAGTTTTTTAAAAAGATTTACTTGACAGATTCCCTTATTTGACACAAAGAGAGATGTTCCATCCACCGGTTCGTTTCGGCAGTGGCCGCAGCCACCAAGGTTGGGCCAGGCTGAAGCCAGGAGCCAGGAGCTCCCTCTGGGTCTCCCATGAGCTGACAGGGGCCCAAGCACTTGGGCCGTCCTCTGCTGCTTTCCCAGGCGCATCAGCAGGGAGCTGGATTGGAAGTGGAGCAGCCGGGACCCTAACCAGTCTCCAGCATGGGCTGCGAGTGTCCTAAGCGGCTACGTCACCCACTGCTCCACAGTGCTGGCCCCATTTTTAAAATCAGGGATATTTGCATTGTTCACTGCTGAGTTCCTTCTGTGCCCTGGATGACAGCCGCTCATCAGACACACGATTTACAAGGGTCACTGCCGTCCTGATTGGCTCTCACCCTGCTGGCTGTGTCCTCTGGTCAACAGATGCTTTTAGGTTTGATTGAGTTCCATTTGTTTTTGCCTTTATTGCCTGTGCCTTTGGTATTGTATCCAAATCGTTCTGAAATCCGATGTCATGAAGCTTCTCCCTTGCTTTTTTCAGTTCTATGATTTGGGGTCTTAGCCGTCTCCTGTCATCACTGCAGAACGTTCTGTTGTCTGAATGTGTCAGAGTTTGTGCGTCTCAGCACCTGTCAAGGTGCATCTTGGTTACCTTCAGTTTTCGAGTCATGAATAAGTGTCTGAACAGCTGGATGCAGCTGCTGGTTCAGGCTCGGCCCAGCCCCGGCTCTTGGGGCCATTTGGGGAGTGACCCAGTGGATGGAAGACCTCTCTCTGTCTCTCCTGCTGTCTCTCTCTGTAACTCTGCCTTTCAAACAAATAAATAAATCTCTTAAAAAATAAAAACAGAGAAATAGAGATAGACAGAGCGAGGACTTGAACCCAGGCACTGAGATATGGAACGCAGGCATCCTAAACCATGTCTTAACTGCGACACCAAACACCTGCCCCTTTTGCCCATTTTTCCATTGGGTGGTTTTCTTACTTTGTGTCAGGTGTATGTCTTGCAAAAGTTTTCTCCTACCCTGTGGCTTTGTCTTGCCATTGTCTCAGCGGATGTCTTTAACAAAGCACAAATTTTCAATTTTAATGATGTCCAGCTAACCCCATCATTTGCTTCTTTGTTTATATGTATTTGAAAGGCCGAGTGACAAAGCTAGAGAGAGAGAGATCTTCCATCTGCTGGTTCCCTTCCGAAATGTCCACCACAGCTGGTGGTGGTGAATAGGCTGAAGCCAGGAGCCCAGAACTCAATCTGGGTCTCCCAGATGGGAGACCAGGACCCAAGGGCTTGGGCCATCGTCCACGGCTTTCCCAGGCGCATTAGCAGGAGGCTGGATCAGAAGCAGAGCAGCCGGGTTTCTGACTGGCACTGTTGCGGGATGTGGGAGTTCTACGCGGTGGCTGCACTTGCTGTGCCCCAGTGCCCAGCCCAGATTTTTCTCTCGTGGGTCGTGCTCTCAGAGTTGTAGCTAAAAAACCATTACCAAAGTACACGCACCTAGATCTCCTACGTTACATTCCAGAGGTTTTATAGTTGTGATTTACTTTTGTTAATGTTTTTATAATTTGTTTATATGAGAGGTAGAGTTAGAGAGAGAGAGGGAGAGACAGAGAGAAAAGTTGTCTGTCCACTAGTTCACTCCACAAATGACTGCAGCAGCCGGAGCTGGGCTGATCCGAAGCCAGGAGCCTCGAGCCTCAGGTCTCCCATGCAGGTGCAGAGGCCCAAGGACCTGGGCCATCTTCTACTGCTTTCCCAGGCCACAGCAGAGAGCTGGATCGGAAGAGGAGCAGAGAAGCAGTGGCTACAATGGCTGGGGCCCTTCTAGGCTGAAGCAGGGGCCTGGGACTCCACCCATGTAGTTTGCAGGGACTCAAGTGTTTGGGCCAGCGTCTGCCGCTTTTGCAGGCTCCTCAGCAGGGAGCTGGCCAGGAAGCGGAGCAGCTGGGATTTGAGCTGGAGCTCTGACGTGGGATGTGGGTGTTGCAGGTGGCAACTTAACCCGCTGCACCGCAGCACTTTCCCTGCAACTTTGTTTTATACTTCACATTACATGGTGGGGGCCGCACCGTGGCTCACTTGGCTAATCCTCTGCCTGCGGCGCCGGCATCCCACATGGACACCAGGTTCTAGTCCCGGCTGCTCCTCTTCCAGTCCAGCTCTCTGCTGTGGCCCAGGAGGGCAGTGGAGGATGGCCCAGGTGATTGGGCACCTGCACCCACATGGGAGACCAGGAGGAAGCACCTGGCTCCCGGCTTCGGATCAGCACAGCGCCGGCTGTAGCAGCCATTTGGGGAGTGAACCAACGGAAGGAAGACCTTTCTCTATCTCACTGTCTAACTCTACCTGTCAAATAAGTAAAAAAAAAAAAAAAAAAAAAATTACATGGCCAAGTCTATCAATAAATCACCCCTGCATAGATCGGGTTCTGCTCTGGGCCTGTTCTTTGAGCGTGTGCATTTGCACACACACAGCTGCACACTTACACACACACACTCGGATTGTTCTGCAGAATGTCGTCCTACAGGGGTGCAGCGTCTTACTTCAGCACAGTTTTGTGACCCTTCTTTGTGTGTTTCCATCTCACCCTTGGGTCACCTGAATCAGTAAGTGCCCTGTGGACGGTCAGGACCCATAAGCTCACCTTCCTGCTTAGATGAGAAGTTTAAGTGCAAAAGTGATGCCGCCTTGTGAACCCCTGGAGGCGGGACCCAGCACAGGGCTGGACATGCATGAAGCAGCTGGCGGCCTGGAGTTGGCTGTGGGCCTGTGTCTTTCCGTCTGCAAAGGAGCGATGGTGATAGCACCATTCGTGAGGGACTGGAAAGACCAAGGGAGAGCTTGCGTTTAGCATGCCTGGCATGTGGTGGGGCTTGGGACAGTGAACTCAGTGAACACAGACCAATTTACTCTTTTTTTTTTTAGACTTTATTTATTTATTTGAAAGGTAGAGTTTTTTTTTTTTTTTAAGTTTTATTTGTTTACTTGAGAGGCAGAGTTACAGAGAGGGGAAGAGACAGGGATCTTCCATCCACTGGTTCATTCCAGTGGCACTCCAGATGGCCGCAACAGCTGGAGCTGTGCCCATCTGAAGCCAGGAACCAGGAGCTTCTTCTGTGTCTCCCATGTGGGTGCAGGGACCCAAGCACTTGGGCCATCTTCCAGTGCTTTCCCAGGCCACAGCAGAGAGCTGGATTGGAAGAGCAGCAGCTGGGACATGAACTGGTGCCCACATTGGATGTGGTGCTGCAGGCAGAGACTTAGCCCACTACACCACAGCGCCAGCCCCGAGGTTACTCTTGTGGGTGGCTGGGCAGGAGGGACAGCCTGCTCCCTGCGTGAGGAAGAGGACTTGGGCTTGGGGGTGGCAGGGTGTCCCCTGTTTGTGGAGCCAGCCCTGCGTTCTGGACTGCAGGTGGGGGACAGACGACCCTGGCCCTCTGGCCTTGACTGTGTGCTCCGTTCCTTCCTCTGTTTCCAGGACAAGCAGCTGCGGATCTTTGACCCCAGAGCCAAGCACCAGGCCTCTCAGGTGAGTTGTGCGGCAGGCAGGTTTTGCAGCAGGGGTGAGTTGAAGCCTGGCTCGCGCCAAGGACCCAGGGGTTCCAGCAAGCCCCGGCTCTGGCTCCTGGTGCTGGAGGCCCCCAGCAGGCTGGCTGCCTGCTGGAGCTCTTTAAGAACTGGGTCTTGGGTCCTGGGGGTCCTGGCTGAGATCCAGGGTGGGGTGCAGCCGGGCTGCCTGCGGGCTGTGGGGGGCTGCCGTGGTTCCGGAAGGTGATTGGCAGTTCTGGCTTCCTTCCCTCCTTTGCAACCCTCACCCACCATGTTCCCTTGCTGGCCCAACTGGCAGAAGCCAGCCACAGAGGACCAAAGAGATGTAGCCCCCACTCCGTACTCTGGTGCCTCACGGCACACGGGCTCCGGGTGGGGCCTGCGAGACCCATGGGGCCCAGGAACCGAGCGTGTTTTGGTCCCACCTTGGCAAAGTGCACATGGTTGTTTGAGTTCTGGGCAGGGAGGCTGTGACCTGCGTTCCCGTGGTTTGGGGCAGCAGGCTGGGGAGCCTCATTCCGTCAGACCTCGTGGGCAGCAGTGGAGTGGCCGGGCACGTGGGCCTGCCCCATGGATGCAGGGCACTGCTGGGATGGTCTGGCGCTTCCTTCAACAGCTGGCCTTGCAGCAGGGGCCTGAGTGACGCCAGGCTGTGGAAGCTGTCGCAGAGTTTAAGTAGGGGTGAGATGCCACGCGCCGCTGTCCTGAAGGTGTTTCCTCAGTGCTGAGCAGTATCGGCCCTGAGGGAGGTGAAGTGTGGGGCCCCGCTGCCAGCTCTAAGCAGAGCCCCCCTCCCCATTTCTGGAGCTCATTCCCCACCCGAGGTCAAGGGTAAACCAGCAGCGTAAACCAAGGGGCAGCAGCTGGAGGCCCCAGGCACAGCCTGAGAGACCGGTTCATGCAACAGATTGTGACTTTGTGGTCAGTGGTACGGTCAGTTTCACTGGTCCAGACTGGAAAGAGGCCCTGTGTGACAGGTGGAGCAGCCGGGCACAGTGATTTGGGCCTTGCCCCCCAGTAAAGCCAGCTGCCCCCCGTCCCATGGGGTTTGGGCGGGTGGACAGTGGCTGTTGCGTTGCACGGAGGTGTGGGTGTGGCCCCAGCCTCGCTCTCCCTCGGCAGCTTGCCTGGAATGACCTGCAGGCCTTTGCGAAGAAGAGGATGCCAGCATCAACCTGCAGTGGGACTGACCCTCCCCAGGGTCCCGGGGGGCTCTGTGAGGGGCACCCGTGTTCCTGCCCAGAGCTGGGCAGTACAGGGGCGAACCCTCTTCCTGAGTGTTTTCCTCCTCCCTCTCTTCTTCCTCCTCCTCCTCCCTCCCGCTCCCCCGCTCCAGCAGGGGTGGGGGCAGTGACTGATGTTGGGGCGGAGCTGGAGTGGCTGCGAGCCAAGGGGCTCCGAGTTCCTTGAAGAGAGTGGGGAGAGGTCTGCTTCTGGAGGGAGCCCCTGCAGGGGCTTCGCCCAGGAGACCTGGGAAGCGCGTGGGTGGCTCCCCCCCAGCTGCTGGGACGGTGCCTGGTGCGGTGCGGGGGCAGCGGACCTGGAATGCTGCCCTCCGCGTGGCCCTGCCCCCCACTTCCGCCCAGGGCATCTGGCCCACACCTGGCTTCTATTAGGAAAACCGCTGCTGGCGGCCAGGGCTGGTGTGAGCTGAGGGGCCGGCTCGGGGAGAGGCCTTGTGGGAGCCCTTCTCGTGAGATGATCCCCTTCCTGCCTGGGGCACGTGGCCAGGGGTGTGTGCTGCCCTCCAGCCAGCCTCCGCTCTTGGCCCCGGGCATCTCACCTCACCTGAGCCCAGGCCTACCCCAGGGCTGGACCTGGGGTCCTCCCTCCACTGTCTTTTTAGGGCCCTGCCCCTGGCAACCTGGGCATGGAGCGGGGTACTTGGATGGCTCCCTCCTGTTCATGCCCCAGCCTTGTTTAGGATTGGGTTTGTGTCCCAGGCATTTGGCTATGTGACTTCCTTCTACCCTGCCCACCGTCCTAGGAAGTCAGCCCTTTGTCTGTTGTCCAGGCCACGTCAGTCCAGCTCAGGAGGTCCTGTCCCTGCTGTGGGGTCCCACAGCAGAGTGGCAGGGGTTTCGCCTGACTCCAGAACCCCCAGGCCCCTCCACTACCCCTTCGTTGTGCCAGGGCCCGGTGTGGGTCAGTTGAGGTCTTGGACCCATGGCTGTCCAGGGAAGCAGAGCCCTGAAACCAGGGTGGTACCTGGGGAGTGGCGAGCCCTTGGGGCCCTCAACAACACAGGAGGTGGCCTGTGATGAGCCCTCTGACCCATCCCTGTGCCTCCTGACTGCCCCATGTGTCAGGGCCTGGGAGGGACCCAGAGCCCAGCCAGCACTGATTGAGGCCGGCTGAGGAGGGGAGTAGGCAGGTAATAGGGGCAGGTCCCCTCACCCCATGAAGGGCCGCTCACCCTGCCCTAGGCCTGCCCTGTACAGGAAGCGTTGCCATGGTGATGGAGAGGGGATTTGGCTGCACTGCAGCTGGAATGCCGGGTATGCGTCTCCCCCTGCGCCCCTTGGCCACAGCCCTCCTGTCTCTTCCTCGGGGCCAGGTGTGGGGGGAACTTTTGACTCTCTTGGGGTTTCCCCATGAGCAGAGTGCCCGGCTGTCTGTGGGTAAAGGTTATCTCCCAGCAGGACCTGCAGCCTACCCAGCCTCTGTGGTGGAGACCCAGGCCTGGCCTGTGATGGGTCCAGAGGCAGCTCCCCACTCAGCTGCCTCCCTGGAGAAGAACAGGAGGATCTCACCAGGGTCAGCCGAGCGTGTTCCTTATTTATTTATGTGAAAGGCAGAGTTGCAGAGAGAGAGAGAGAGAGAGAGAGAGAGAGAGATCTTCCATCCACTGGTTCACTCCTCAAATGGCCGCACGGCCAGAGCCAGGCTGATCTGAAGCCAGGAGCTTCTTCAGGGTCTCCCACATGGGTGCAGGGACCCAAGGACTTGAGCCATCTTCTGCTGCTTTCCCAGGCCATAGCAGAGAGCTGGATCAGAAGTGGAGCAGCCAGGGCTCGAACTGGCACCCACATGGGATGCCGGTACGGCAGGTGCTGGCTTTACCTGCTGTATAGCACCAGCCTCGAGAGTGTTCCTTTTTGAAACTGGCCATCCTTCCTGTATGGTCTGAGCATAGAGGAGGGGGTAGGAGGCGCTCAGGGCCCTGTAAGGATGCTGAGCTGGGTGTGCCATGGCAGGGAGTAGCTGGGTGCAGCCTGGCCTCTGGTTCAGGACGGCTGGGCTGGGTGCTGTGGGAGAGCACGCCCTGGGGTGTTTGCTGGAAGCTGGAAGCTGTCTGGGGGCAGCTGTGGTCCCATCTCTGTTGCCTGCTGGACTCCTCCCCTCTGAGCCTTAGGTCCTTCTCAGGCCGAGGTGATCCTGGTCCTCTCGCAGGTGGGCTGGGTGACTTTGGGGATGTGGCCTTCTCTGGGCCTCTGCTTCCTCCACGTGTGACAAGGGAGGCAGGGAGGCAGGCCCAGGTGAGCCCCACCTCCCCCTGCGCGGCCCACGCCAGGCTGCCCACGTGTGACAAGGGAGGCAGGCCCAGGTGAGCCCCACCTCCCCCTGCGCGGCCCACGCCCGGCTGCTGCTCGTGCCTTGGCTCAGAGTCGCCCGCGCTGATAGCTGGTCAGTGGTGTGGGCAGCGCGTCGGCACCTCAGCCTGCAAAGGAGTTCCACTGTGGAGGCCCACGGACGCTGAGCGACGCGGGCAGTGGCGGCAGGGCTGGGGTCTGCGCCGTCTGCGTGCACACCTTGCTGCCTGCCCTCGGTGTGGCTGCTTCGTGGCCCCGGGACTGACAGGGGACGGCAGTGACTTCTCTGGGGTCCACGTCTGCCTCCCGACATGCATACACCCTGGGATGGGGACCTTCTCTGTTCCTCCTGCGTCCCTGCCCCCTAGCGTGGTGCGTGGCTCCGACGCTCGTCCTGCGAAGGACGACTGGATGGATAGCCCTGCTCGCCCAGCTGCTGGACCCCCACTCTGAGAGCTCCTCGCAGACCTGCTGGCTTGTGGGCGGCCTTGCATGTTTGTTGAGTGAATAAGTGAATGAGTGAGTGAACTGATGGTGTGTGACCAAGTTGAAAATCATCGGTTTGCTGCTTACGCAAGGGGTATTTGCATACCCACGGGAGAGCCAGAGCCCAGTGACGCTTGTGACCCACTTTGGAGTGTTGGGGGCAGGGCTGGTCAGCGGTGTGACCCTTGCCCTGACCCCACGGCCCCTCTTACGTGGAAAGGGGTATGGGGCTTAGGTTCTCAGGCTCTGGCCCCCATTTCCTGTGCCGGCCGGGAGCAGTGAGAAAAGCCCCTTGAAGGACACGACGTGGAGCCTTTCCAAGGGTCTCCCACGCTGGGGTCGGCCTCCACGGACTGGGGAGGGGCCCCGGGCCAGCTCCTCGCCGGCTGCCTCCCTCCCTCATTCATTCCCAAGGAGATCGTGGGAAGCTTGGAGGAGGCTGGCCACGTTTGGGGTGAGCTATTTTTGGTAAAAGGGTCCTTGTCTCAGGCTCCAGGGGCCAGGGTGACTGGGAGGGAGCTGTTTGCATTTCCTCCGGCCCTCTCGGCTCCCCCCTGCCAGGGCCCAGGGGGACAGGGCTGCCGCCTGCCATGTGAGCCTCACTGTTCTCCCCGCCGGCTGCAGCCTTGCTGCTGGCAGCTCCGTGTGGTGGGAGGCCGGGCACTGCCCTGTCCCCTCCAGGACGCTCCCCAGAGCTTGGCCCCAGGCTCCCCCTCTGGCGCCCTGGCAGCATCAGGAGGCCCAGTAATCCCCGTAATCCGTGATTTGCACGGCGCTTTGCCGCAGGCCCTCTCTCTCCACACGGCCTCTCAGTCGATCCTCACTTCAGCCCCAGGAAGTAGGTGGCATGGTCAGCACACGCCCCGTTCACATGCAGGAAAATGGAGGTTTCAGCAGGCGTGGGGTGCCCACAGTCACGCAGCTCTGGGCGTGAAGGCCACGGCCAGGGCCCAAGGGTGGGGACCCTCACAGAATGCCTCCTCCAGGCACCTGCAGAGGGGTGGGACAGCTGCCACTGTTAACCCACAGCTGAACGAGGCAGGGCCAGCTCCCTCGTACTAGAGAGACTGGAGCCCGGGCTGTGGGCTGGGCCAGCCTCTTGCAGAGCTGGGGCTTAGGCAGGATTTGCCCAGGGTATATACAAAACCAGCTGTCCAGGTTTTGAGTGGACGACCAGCCCGGCCCCTCCTGCCTCTGTAGGCAGCAGGATTCCCCCAACTCAGACCCGTAGTAGGGGCCTGGTGGATCAGGGCCATCTCTCGTCTCCTGCAGAGCACACAGGCCCACGAGAACAGCAGGGATGGCCAGCTGGCGTGGACAGCCACCCAGGAGCACCTCGTGTCTACTGGATTCAACCAGGTAGGGGTTGCTGCTGGGTGAGCGGGCACAGCCAGGTAGGGCCGTGCCCAGCCGTTCCAGCTTCCGCCCCAGGAGAGCAGGGGTAAGACTGCCGGGGGGCGGGGGCGCTGACACCAGTTCCAGGCCTGTCCATATACGGCCTGGCTGTGCAGCCGGGTCTCCAAGCCCCAGGGGAGCAGCGGCTCCTGAAAACTGGCAGATTCCATTTGCAATAGCTAAGCCTGACCCCGGGAGCCCTGGTGGCCCCACAGGGACCAGAGTCCATGGAGGGAACCGCCCCTGTCCCTTGTCACCTAAGGCTTCTTAAAGTGGCAGTGCCTGAAAACCCAAACTCTTTTCCTGGTGCAGCCCTCCCCCAGCCCTGTGCTGGGCCGTGCCTTCAGGCCGTGGGTTCCAGGGAGCCTCCTGGGTGGGGTGGGGGGTTGAGGGACAGGCCCCTCTGAGCCTGTTTGTGGCCTTCCCTGCAGATGCGTGAGCGGGAAGTGAAGCTCTGGGACACTCGACTCTTCTCCAGCGCCCTGGCCTCCCTCACCCTGGACACCTCACCCAGGTAGGAACTGTGGGTGCTGGGTGGGCTGGAGGCAAAGGCGCCGCTGGCACAGCCTCTGCTCCAGCCTGTCCACAAGTTGTGTGGTGCCCGAGCTGGACGGCAGGGTCTGTCCTAAAGAGACCAGCCCTGCCCTGGAGAGCTCCCGACTTCACCAGCAGGGGGTGCTAAGGCATCCCCCGAGGAGTGGGGACAAGCACAACTGACTCGCCCTGTCCAGCCCAGGCCAGCAGCGTGGACCTCAGTCGTGGGGCAGGGTCATGGCCGGCAGCTCACACAGGATGTGTTTTGGCGTCTGGTGTGAGGCTGTTGCCCACAGCTGTTGCCTGAAGCACAGGCACAATGGGTTTGTGTGTGGCTGAGGGCCCAAAGAGACCCAAGGCTGGGATAGAAGGTGGCTGCTGGGTGGATGTGGGGTGACACTGGCGGACTGGCAGGTTTGGGGGTGTACATGCAGATGGAGGTGGGCTTGAACTCCAAGGAAGTTTGTGGAACCCACTCAGCACCCAGTGCACAGCAGTCCCTGGTCTGTCCCCAAGTAGGGCTGGCACCCACACAGCTTAGTCTGTGCAGAGATGGCCTTGGCCCTCTGTGGCTCAACAGCCGCCCACCAGGAGGCCCATGGTGAGCACGTTCAGGTGGCCGTTCCTCATGGTTCTGCGGCCGCCCACGGTGCACCTGGAGCACTGAAGCTTGGGTGCAGACTCAGCCGGGGGGGCCTAGGGCAAGGGCAGGGGTCCGGGCCTTGTTCTGAAGCCACAGCTCTGACTCGGGGAGGCCACTGGGGCTTCCTCAGGCCCCTCGGGGGCCTGGGCCTAGGCTGGCTTGTCCAGCCCCTTCCCTTTCACACCTGAGGGAACTGAGGTCCAGGAGCAGCAGGGAGGGTGTCTGAGGGTGGGGAGCACTGTGGGGTCCTCCTGGGACCATTTCACAGAGTCCCCACGGAGTGCCAGTGACAGCTCCTGCCAGAGAGGAGGGCCAGGGACCCTCCTTCCTTCCTTTCCCACCTGGGGCGCAGCGGGCAGCTGGTGAGGCCGAGTGAGGTTTCACGACAGCCCAGGTCAGGGCTGTTCTCCGCGTCCTGGGGATTCAGGAGGCCCAGATGGGATCCGCCCCTGCTCAGAGGAATCAGAGCTTTGACCTCCATGTTCCACGTCCCCCACTGCAGCCCTGGCGCTGCTCTGGCATCTCCTTCCCCAAGCCAGATGCCTCCGGCACTTCCAGGGCCCCCAGCAGAGGCGTTGGCGTGAAGGGACTAGCACCAGCAATCAAGTACCCTTCCGCCCACCACTTCCTGCCTTCCAGGCTCCGCCCGCCCCGTGCTGGCCACCACCCGACACTGATCACCCCCTGCTCGGCCCCAGTGTGGCTCCTGGAGGAGTAAACGATGCCCAGACCCCACGGTGCCACTGTCCAAAGCTGACCCTGTAATTATAGCAGTTAAGAATAGCCTGGAAGGACCAATGAGGACTAGCATTTCACAAATCACTCCCAGATGGGCGGCCAAGCCAGTGTCCTGCCCTCCTTCATCCAGCCCTGGCCCCTGCCCCGCCAGGCTGGCACCCTCGGCAAAGGAGCTGGGACTCTGTGCTTGCACAATGCTGGTAGGGGCCAAGGGCGCGTGCCAGCCTCCAGATGCTCCGAGGACCCCACCCAGATAGCGTGCAGGTGTTGCCCGTGGGCACGGCCACGATGGGAACTGGCATCTGTTGGTTCTACCGTGCTCGCTGTCTTCTGCGTCGCAGATTCCTACCTTGGGTTGAATAGAGCGATGTGTGCTCCTAGAGCTACTGGGGTTCTGGGGTTCTTCCGTCATGGGTTCCGCTTCAGTTCTCCTCGTCATCTGTGGGGTGACTACGAGGATGCACTCACAGCTGGGTGAGCAGGGCTCTGGGAGCCAGGCTGGCCTGGGGCTGTGGGGCCTTCCTGTCTACAAGGTGGGCGTGGGCTGATAATGAGAGGGGCCGGCAGAGCCCCATCCAGCAGACACACAGACACACCTGTCTCAGACGGCCTGCTCCGGGGCAGGAACAGGAGGGGTGGGCGTGCATGGCCTGCAGCACACGGCCTGCCACTGGAAGGACCCGGCGGTCCAGGGCTGCCGCGTGCCCATGTCTGCTCCTGGGCCCTGGCTGGAGCCCGGGCGGGTCAAAGCAGTATCTTGAACCCTGACTCGCCCTCACCCGCAGCCCCGTCCTCCTGGACGGTCCAAGTGCTTTGCCTAGGATGGCCCTTCCCCCACCCCACCCCGCCTCCTGCCGACACACCAGGCCAGGTTTGCTTTGCAGCGAAAACATTTACTCAGCAGCCAACGCCGGCTCTCGGCAGTGGCCCACAGGCCCACAAAGGCCCCTTTGACAGGGCTGCGAGGGGGAGGGCGGCTCTGGCCGTGCCGCTCCCCTAATGGGAGCCAGGCCTACAGGAAATCCACCTGGGCTGCAGCCGCTGCGCCTGGGGAGGAAGGGGCCCCGCCCAGGCCCACTGCCACCACCCACTGCCCGCATGACCTACCGCCGCCGCCGCCTCCTCCGTTGCCAGAGCCCTCGGCAGCCGCTAATTGAATCCAGAGCCTCGCGTGGCCGGGCCTGACTCGGCGCTGACATCAACACCCGAGCTGTGGGGCCTGCCCCCCAGGCCTGGGACTGCTTCCTTCCCGCCAGGGGTGAGGTCAGGGCCTGGGGCTGTCACCCAGAGGACATGGGCATGGGGCCCTGCCCAGCTCCCTGTAGGTAAAGGTGCTGTGCGTCCATCCCCAGCCCAAGCTTCCTGTACCCATTCCAGGCCACAGCCACACTTGGCATCCCTGGCTCTGCCCCCACCCCTGCCTGCGGCCTTCCTGGAAGACACTCCTGCTTCCGGGGTTTCCAGAAGGCCTGGGCACGTCCCTAGTGCAGGGGGTGAAGGAGCATCACGAGGCCAGCAACCCAGCGCCATCTGCAAGCCGCACAGCCGGTGGCCTGGTCCCTGAGCCTGCTGACAGCTCCTCCTCCCCTCCAGGAGACTTCCTCTGGTGACCCACACCTCCCACCCCAGCAAGGCCCTCCTTCACAGCGGGGTCACGAGGCGCAGCGGCCTGCAGGCACCCCAGTCGAGGCAGGGCGCACCAGCCAGGTCAGGGCACCTAGGAGGGCTCTCTGCTGGGAGAGGCCCTCAGGCCATGCGCAGCCCTACCAGGCCTGATGCCCGCCCTGCACCCGGGCCGGGTGCACCTGGGAGCTGAGCCCGAGACACTGGTTTCATTTTATCTTTTATTTTTCTTACAAAAGGCCTTCATATCATCGTTTGTCTTACAAAAACCAAAGTCCTTGTCTCTGAGTTTAAAAAACGTTTTCCCAGAATAAATGGGAAAGGATCTCCTATAAATATGTTTTAGAAAACAAAACAACGAAAGGAAAACAAAGTGTTCCTAAAGCATCTTTCTTTCCAGTTTCTTTTGTGCCTGCGCTTCTTGGGGCTGAGGCTGGGGGCCCCAGCCCCGGCCCTCACTCTGCTCTTTCTGGGGGTTTCCTTCACTGCCCCCAGAATCTCCACGGGTAGGGGAGCCCAGCAGGGCCCAGCCTGTGTTACCAGCACGTGGCTGGACCCGCCACACCCCTGGAACGCCCAGTGCAGAGGGTGGGGCAGACTCCACCCCAGCAGATACTCGGGTTGGGGGAGCTTGGAGCTCATCTCCCGGGACACAGCCTCCCGCAGGTGAGGTGCCAAGGGGACCGACTGCGGTCACACAGCCCCACCCTCCATGTGTCCCAGTGGCAGGGACTGAGAATTTCCTTGTGGCAGCAGGAGGCGCAGGCCAAGAGCCCAGCCCTGGCTGCCCCTCACTGCCGGACTTAGATGTAGGGCTTGGCAGGCAAGGACCCCTGGGGGCTGGGCCCCATGTACCCCATGAGTGGCACTTCACACTCGGGTCCGTTGGACAGGGCCTCCCCAGTGCCCTCCGTTGCCTTGGGTCCTGGCTCCAAGGGGGCCTTCACTCCCTCCAGCTCCAGGGGCCCAGCCCCTGGCCCTACCTGCCCTTTGCCCTGAGCCGCCGCTGCCCGCCCACGCCGCACGCAGTAGGCCACCCCTACGGCGGCCAGCGCGGCCAAGAGCACAGCGGCCAGGGCGGGCGCGATGAGGAGTGGCAGGTTGCCCTCTCGGGCCTGGGTGACAGGGGAGTGGTTGGAGCGAACGGCCTGGGGGGTGCGGGCCTCCCCGCAGGCCTCCTCCCCCTCGGGCACCCGCCCAGCTCCCAGGGGCGTGACACAGATGGAGTAGGTGGCGTTGGGCCGCAGCTGAGTGACGGTGTACTCAGAGAGCGAGGCGGGCAGCCGCAGTGTCACCAGTCGCTTGTCCGGGCCCGACAGGTTGCGGTAGGTGAGCCGGAGACTCCTGAGCTGCGCAGAGCTGCCCTGCAGGTAGCGCTGCAGTCCCACGCGCAAGGAGGTGGGGCTCACGGGCTCAATGCCCAGGGGCACAGGCTGGGGGCGCCTCGGCACGGCTGGCGTGGGGCTGGGCCACGTCCCCTGCCCTGCCCGGCTCTCGCAGTACAGGCCCGTGAAGCCCTCTGCGCACAGGCACTCCAGGTGGTACTGCGGCCCCAAGCGGCAGGTGCCCCCGTTGAGGCAGGTGGATGCCGGGCAGTCCTGGGGCCAGGGTTCAGGTTCCACAGTCGGCAGGGCAGTGGACGGTAGGCTGGGGGCCTCGGTGGCTGGTTCTGTGGAACTGAGCCAGGTGGGAGCTGGGCTGGAAGGCGAGAGCGTGGGCTCCCACGCTGCAGGCCTCGTGGTGGGGGCTGTGGCTGTGGTGGTGGTGGCCGGGCAGCCAAAGTCGGCATAGTCGAGCTCCAGGAGCAGCCGGCCAGCGTTCTTTGGCGGGAAGTGGCAGCGGGTCTCCTCGGGGCTGGCCAGCGTGACACGGCTCTCCCGCACCCAGGAGCCGAACCAGCTCAAGGGGCACACGCAGTTGAAGGGGTTGCGGGCAGCTGCCAGGAGCCGCAGGCGGGGGAAGAGGCCTGAGAGGTC